ACCCCGGTTCATCACATCCACCGCTTCATTGAGTTGGCACGGGGCGGACAGATACAACTGTGTATCGTCCGTGTATTGATGGTCTCCCTTTATCAACCTACCTACCTAACCACTCTCTCCCTACTATATTTCTCTCTCTTTCTCTCCCTGTCTATCCCTCTATCTATCTACCTACCTACTTTTTTTTTTTTAAATGCCTCTTCAAAACCTTGGTGCGTCTTATACTCCGAAAAATATAGTAACCAAAAACAAATTAGGAGCAAAGAGAATTCCAATGTAATTAACTATAGTTTACTTAACAAGAGGTTATACAAAGTGGTTGGTGGAATAGGAATTTAAGCAGTAATGTGCTTTTGAGCTAAAGTCTGATTTAGGAGAAATAGTCTGGTGTAGTGGTTAAGGCACCAGGCTAGAAACTGGAAGACTGCAAATTCTAGTACTGCCTTAGGCTAGAACCCAACTGGGTGACAGTCACTTTCTCTCAGACCTAGGAAGGAGCAATCACTTCTAAAAAAACTTGCCCAAGAAAACTGTAGAGATTATTTCCAAATAGTCCTAGGAATCAAAAAATTGACACACACACACCCACACACACACAGAGAATCTAATTTAATTCTTTTGGTTTAGAATATGTATACGAAGAACATACATATGAGAACATTCCATGCTGTAATCATTTCCATTTCATAATGACATAAGAGGTTTATGTATTTACAAGAACAGCAAGTTACAAGAAACAAGCAGGGCAAAGATACAACATACTAGTAATGTTATCTAGAGATTTGCATATTATTTCACTTATGCATTTTGTAAGGCGCTGAAGACCCTGTTTTACTAGGGTCATGGGTGGGAAAAGAATTGTGTCTTAATTTATTATTATCATCATCTGTCGCCTGGGGTTATTTGTAGTGCTGGTGGTTATTGTGCATGTCTCGTGTGAGATAAGCAGCTATACAAATCTAATAGAAAAATACTCTGAATTGAAGGATAGAAAATGTACAATTAAACCCCTTTTTAAAAGCGGCGTTAATTGCATTTTTTAGTTTAAAATATAATTAAAATACACTTTTTAAACATTTAAGATTTTGAAATTTCTTAATTTCCTCCTTTAATCCCAGCTGCATGATGATTTTTCCCCCCTCAAAAGCGAGGGAAGGACATCTGTGTATGCTCAGAGGCATTTAGTCATTATTTCAGGGCGAGAACTACAAACGAAGATATCGACCACACTTACTGGAGAAAAAAGAGGAAAACCCACACTCTTTTTCACCATTCCACCATCCTGAGGAATAACACTCACCTTTTCGATTTCGCCCCCTTAAGAACCAGTTTTGTTTTCTTAACACAAGAATATTCCGCCATGCCTGCTGGCGTAGTACGGGAGCCGCAGAAGGACAAACTCCGCCTTTCGTTTTTCTTGCGCCGCTACGGAAGCTGGGAAGGCAGATCTTCGGGCCTTTTGGGATCTTTCGGACTGAGCATGCGCATTTCAGGCATCGAAGCTTCATCCCTGACGAAGGACGCCTGGTGTGATGCGCTTATGCGGTCTTCCCAGCAGTTTAGAGGGGAGGCTTTTCTAATGCTTGCGATCTTATCAGCTTCCCACCTCTCGTCTAACGGTCCCACTAGGGAAGCGAGACAGACACCATAATGTTTCCTGCAAAAATCCGGTTGACCATTAAATGATAACAAAGAGATCTTCGGTGCCATTTAAAAATGTTCTGGATTTTTACAGCCCGCATCTGGCAGCTGCTGGGTAGGGGCAACTGAACCAAACCCCCGGCGTCTTAGTCTTCTTCCTAGGATGCTTCCATATCATCCACAGATGCCCATCAGTCTATCCTAGCGCCTAGAGCCAGATCTCGATGCCCTTGCCTTTCCTGGAGACTAAAAATGTGGTGTCCAAAGGTGCTTTTTCAGGAGGCAACTGGAGTTTGTTTTTTTCCCTTTTCTTTGAAGACGTTTTGCTTCTCACGAAAGAAAAGACAGTCCAGTTGCCTCCGGAAAAAGCACCTTTGGGACAACCAGGACCAGGATGACTGAGAATCTCTACAGACTTTAAAAAATGTGGTAGTCTACCTGATGTACCGTATTCCACAAGGATGCCTGGAGTTTTCTGCCTGGGTATAGTAAAATAGGGATGCAGTAGCTCAGTGGCTAGGACGCTGAGCTTGTCGATCAGAAGGTCAGCAGTTCAGAGGTTCAAATCCCTAGCACTGTGTAACGGAGTGAGCTCCCNAAGAATTTAGAAAGGTCAATCTAAGACCCTGATTTGCTTTTAGATTGATCTTTCTAAGTTCTTAAATCCATTTTTTCCTATTTCTAGCAGAAACAGAATATACAAGGTAAGACAATAATGCAACAATACTTATTTTATGCAAGTTGTATGAGGAAAAGTATCACTGTTTTCTCCAGACAGAACATGAGCATATGGGAATGTGGCTAGCTGCTAGAAGAAGAGGTTATGTAGTCTAACCTTCCCCTAAGGACATATCAAACCATCCATTGCAAGATATGGATGAGTCTGAAGGGGCTCTAGTTCAGATAGTATTTCCCCCCCCCCTTCATGTGGGAGATCTCTATATCTGCAGAAATTGCACAATCGAAATGTGGCAGCAGTGAACCTAACCTATAGGATCTCCTTCATGTGTTTTTTCAATGCATACATGCAGTGATTCTGTAACTCTTGTGGACATACATAAAATTGATACATATCAATTTCTTAAAAGGGAAATATTATTTCTAAACTATGATTACAAAGCCATCTACGGACATATAATACAATCTAAATTTGATACTCTTATATTAATTCAAAGTCCAAGAGAAAAATTACCTTGTATCTGACAGCTTGACCGCAGTGAATTGTTCAGGAGGACTAGGTCCTTCATCTTTTTTTTAAAAAAAATAGATATGCTTATTAGAGTTATAGAATTCAATCAAAATTTATTTATTATCTAAGACCAAAAACAAGAAAAAGACTAGCAATACAGTTAACTAACAAAAAAAAAAATTCTAACACAGTCAATGGTTACTAATTTGCAAACTGGGAAAACCAGCCTGATCTAGTTAAAGCACCAAGCTAGAAACTAGGAGAGTTTGTGGTTGTGGGGAAAACAGGATGAGAAAAAAGTATTAGGCATGTTTGTCATGATGAGTTATTTATAGGCAGCCAGTGGTATTGTGATTAAAGCACCAGGACAGAAACCAGGAAACTGTGAGTTCCAGTCCTACCTAGGTGACTTTGGACCAGTAACACTCTTTTAACCCAATCCATCTCACAAATTGTGGCTGTGGGGAAAATAGGAGGAGTAATATTAGGTATGTTCACTGTTGTGACTTAGCAGAAACCTGTGAGTTGTTGCAGGATAATGAGCAGCTGTTGCTCGTTAGGGTCTTCTCCTGCAGATAAAAGACTGATGGTGCCACGCCTTAGTTGCAGAAGCCAACGTTCGTCGTTCGTAGTTCATTTGTTCGTGAGTTCAGTTCCGTTCCTGTTCGAGTTAGTGATTCAAAGAGGCACTTGGATAAGTGATTTGCTTTCTGTAAAC